CTGTATAACGGAGGTGCCCTTCACTATTTTAGATTTGGCATTCATACTTTGGGCATGAGAAATTTTGCTAGACATCCTTTGTCGTGTCGTTGCTTTCTTAATGGTTGTAGGTTTTTTACTGATTGCACGTTAGGTTTGCGCGACTAACCATGCTGTACATAATGGCTCAATATAAAACGTGAAAAATAGCTTTGTTTGGGAAAAGAGGCTACATTGGTCGCATAACTAAAACTGAAATATGCAATACTCGTCAACATAAGGCTGTCGAAGTTTATGACATTAATAATACGAATTGCATAATACTGATCGACGGCTGCGCGGCTGCCACGTCGCTACGTCAAATATTTGTATCAGATTAGCGATTGTGTCCAAGCTTTGACTGATGACATGTAAGAGTAATCCACAATCTGCTCGATCATGCGACTTGGCACGCATGCAACTGTCACTCGATCATAAGTTATGAGCTTCGTTGCGATGTGATAAACCTTGATAAAATCTCATCGCTGGTTTATTATAATCCATGCGACGAACCGGATGAGTGCGACGAAACGCGTCAACTTTGAAAACTATTAATTTTTTTTCTAAAAACAGGTACTCTGGGTTACTGGCTAAAGCCGGATTTCGATGACACTGATAAGCCCGGTGTTTTTTTGTCGTGTTTAATGTGCTTCTTAGTTGTGCCATACAAAAAGACGCGGTTGCTTTTTTTAATATGAAGCACAGAACCGAATTATGTCGTAACATTTGTGAAGGTAAGATATGGGAATCATGATAAGAAAGTGCCATCGATGTCGGTATAATCAGATAATACATAACTACTCACAAACCCCAGCTGTTCTACCGTCCTCTTGCTCCTGCTTTCCCAAGCAGGAGCCTTTAAACAAGCCAGTATTGGTGTATTTGGTAATGCCAGTATCTTTCATAATTTTTCCTGCAAGGGATACGCCAGTGGCTGTTTCATTGATTGCTACTCTTTTATGCTGCTGTATAAATCTTAAATATGTTTATATGTCGAAGGATGTAAAATAACGCCAAATACCGTAAGTCAGATACACCGGCACATGACAAAGTTC